ATGGATGTAGTACTCATAACCATGATGGTATATAGTCCTTAGCATCATCTTTATCAATAAAATCCACAGTATGATACACTTTTGCAGTGTTATTAATATCATCTTCTATTCTAATCAACTTGAATAGAATAATTATGATCCCGAAGTTGTGATGCAAAAAATCCTCAAACAGGAGGAAGCTCTTCAGTATTTAGCGAACAATGGTATGTCAGAAAGTGTTGAGTGGACGAAGACCGCGTGTGGCGGTGAGGATAATTTTCGGTTCATATTGTTTGTCGCATGCAATTTGGCACATGAACTGGTGTTAGTATGTTGCTAGTTGCTTAGTCTGTCTCTATAGTGATCGGGTCGTCAAAGTTATGGTTTTTGGTGACATCCCGGCTTGACTTCCGTCTATAGCCAGTCTGACTTTTGTTGTTCGCGATAGGACAGCAGCTGTCGAGCGGAATACCTCATCATTCACGTACTCTGCGAAAGCTTCAAGACTCACACTTCAAAACTCGCACTCGGTTTGTCGTATTGGCTGCGCTTGAGCAGTCTTCATTATTAGTGCACTCTTATCTCGCCTGAATCGTACTCAACCAGAGAATATGTCTTTAATTTGTATACCCATGTTCGAATAGCAGCCTTGTCTGTCCTTGCATGGCTCTCATGCCCTGTTTTCTCGGCCTTATTATAGTCCTTACCTGACACTCGGGTTGTTTCCACTTGAAGCACTCGCATGGCTGTACATGAGTCACTCTCGTGTATAAAACAGAACAAATCACACGTGTATACCCATCTGGTCCTCTAGCCTATACTTATGGATACCACATATCCATTGTTGAGAATGATGAGTGTATTGCTATAAAATTACCTATCTTATTGGGAGTAGAATGCTATTAAATTGCAAATTCTAATGAGAGTAGCTTGGGGAAACCTTGACTAATAGTAGCTGGTTACTTTGCAGTTGTGCAACATCAGAGGAAGGTGCAGCTGGTCAATCGGATGAGCGAGAGGGTGCGCGCGCAGGAGTTAGTTATTATGCAGCTCTCCACCAGGCTGAAGATGGTAAGTTGGACTAATTCTTCAAATAAGTGTGAATAGATTAGTGCGCATTTAATTTTGAATTAGCTATCAGAAGCGCATCAGCTGGCTGTTGTAACTGACAGCGCGAAACTTGAAATTTTAATCATATCTATTGCCCTTCAGCTCACCGTTGAACTCTCTCATTAGGGTTTGCCGGTACCTTATTCTGGGATTCTTCTTTATTTCAAATGTATCTTGTCTGTGCCTTCGTTTCCCTACAAGTTTGTTTCTCTGGGCTTATATGTTCCGTTGTTCGCTGCAGGCGGAGAATGCCTTAGAGCAGATGGTCGATACGGCGAAAAGGAAATTGGAAGTGCAGGAGAAGGCCAAAAGTCGTACGTTTGTCTGGATGCCCAAATTGTTGTGCTATCAATTGGCAGTTCACTGGATCGCAATTTGGTCGTTTGTTCGTGCGTCGGCAACCCACTCGCTCGAGATGAGTGACCTGAGATTAATTTATTCATAGAAAGCCTTTTTTTATCTATTGATAGAACGTCTGTGAACTATTTTTTTATAGAATGGCTGTTCAGCTGCTAACCTCGTACCGTGCATACTCGTATATCAGCGGTATTATTGTAGTCTCTCGGGCGTGTTTTATTCGTGCGCAAGTTTCAGAATTTTCTATGTTATGTTAGTTTTTGAGTCGTATGAACGTTCACCTTTCCACAGATTTGCATACTCAACAACTGGTACACTAAACATAGTTCCTCCATCAAACCCTGACATTTGGTCCCACTATCTGTCGACATAATTGTGTGACTTCTGACTTTATTTTGCTTCTGTATAGTGCTGAGTCTGTGGATATTATGACTGCAAATAATAATGTTGGACATCAACTTGTGACATTCAACGGCCTCTTATCCGTGTAGGTGCAGGTCGTACCCCCGTGTTGGTGGTATTTCAAAACACTTGGCTTGTACTTCGTTGCAATTTTTTCTTCTTCAGATGTTTCAATTTACATATTGGCATCTCCTATAGCGTGTCCTTTTTTAAGTA